AATTCTTCTTGTGGATTTTCTGTTTATGTATTATCTTTTTAGGTTTGATTTTAATGATCCAGAGATTCGTTTTCATTGAGCATCTGAGAATTGAGTAGAAATGTTGTAGTGATTTTGAGGGATGATTTCTGTGCCTCTCAATGCACAGGAGGGCCTTTCTAAATCTCCATGCTTTATTCTTTTAATAGGAAGGGATTTAGAATATAAGAGTGTGCTGTGAAAGCACTGCCTTGGCAGGCAGCAGGCCAGCATTTATTTCAGAGCAGGCCTACTTTTGCGCAAGTCATGAATCTGTTTGGGAAGAGAATGAATAGGACCTGACAGTGTGTGAGCGTCTCTGTGGTACCTATGAATCATTGAAATACAAAGATGATGATTAGAGTTAGCTTTGTTCAGTGGACAGTATTTGTTTGAATAATAGCATTTCATAATAACTGGAGCAGTTTGGCATAATTGCAGAAAACAATCCAGCCCATCATAAGGAGTGTTTCCTAATGACAAAGACTTCATTTAGTTTTACTCTCTGATAAAAATGATATAAAAATTCAGAGAGCATTTAAACATATATGTCAGTAAGACACAAAATGAACTAATCTGACCCTTTGCTCTTTTGCTGCTAAAGCTTACCTAGGAAAATTGCCAGTGAGTCAGAGAAGGGTACTAAATGGCAGATGTCAACAGCCTCAATTAATAAATTATTCAAAAAGTTGTTGGGCATCTTTGACCCATAGAAAGTCATGTGTCTTGGTTATCTTTATTCCTTGCATTGGCCAGACTGGAAATTAACCAAAGGCTTATAACAATCTAAAGGGTGTTTATTGAAGGGGAAAAAAACCTCAAAGAGCTGAATTTCCATAAGAACAGTAAGCTTTGTGGTGTTTTCACTTGCCCTGTTACCTGCCATTCCCTGCTCCAGCTCCACAATGGTCTTGAAAACCAATAGCCTCACAATCACAGTAGCTATGCAAACCAGAAGCCTAACATCCACTGAAGTTGGCAGTTTGAAGCTTATGAGAGTTGAAGGGAGAAATAGACAAGTCAACAACAATAGTTAGAGACTTCAATAGCCCACTTCCAATTATGTTTAGAATAACTACCAGAATATTGACAAAGTAATAGAAGATTTGAATAATACTGTAAATCAACTTGATCTGACAGAGACATCTATAGCACACACTGACCAATAACAGCAGAGTGTGTATTCTTTTAAAGTACAAATGGAATATTCTCCAGGAGGGACATAAAACAAGTCTTAATAAATTGAAAAGGTATGAAAATAAGCCAAATATATTCACTGAAATGAAATGAAAATGAAATGAAATTACAAATCATTAGTAGAATGAAGTTTGTGGAAACAAACACATTTCTAAATAACCTATGGGTCAAAGGGGAAAATCACAAGGAGAACTAAAAATACTGGGAGGTAAATGAAAATGAAAACACAACATAAAATATATAAGATGCAGCTAAGGCAGTGCTAATAGGCAAATTTATTGCTGTTAATGCCTATATTGTAAAAGAAGAATGATCTCAAAGCAATGAGTTAACCTTTCAGTGAAAGAAAAATAGAGCAAACTGAACTGAAAGAAAGCAGAAGGAAGGAAATAATTGTAGAGCAGAAATAAGCTAGAAAATTGAAAAACAAAAGAGACACATTTTAATGATCCCGGAAGTTTATTCTTTGAAAAGATCAACATTGACAAATGTGTAGCTAGCCTGCTTATGAAAAAAAGAAGATTCGAATTACTAACATTAGTAATGAAAGAGGGCACTTTACTATTACCTTATAAAAATGAAAAGGATTGTAAGTGAATACCATCAATAGTTGTATACTCACAAATTAGATCACCTATGTGAAATGAACAAATTTCTAGAAAGATAAAAACTACTGAAACTGACTCAAGAAGAATTACAGGGGTAGGGGAAAGTAGGTTTATAGTTGTGAGTATGTGAGAGAGTTAATTCTTGTATTATTTATTAATTATTGTATTATTTATTTGTATTACAATTGTAAACCTACTTTTGCCAACCCCTGTATAAATTCTGAATAGACCTATAACAAGTAAAATGATTGAATTAGTAAATTTAAAATAACTTCCCACAAAGAAAAGCCCAAGACAAGAAAGCTTTACTTGTGAATTCTATCAGACATTTAAGGAAGTTTTAATATATATCCTTCTCAAAATATTCAGAAAAAAAGGTGTGAGGGAACACTTCAAAAAGCATTCTATGAAGACAGTATTACCTTGATTACAAAACCAGACAAAGCTATCACAAAAATAACATCCCTTATGAATATCTCATGTGAATATAGACACACACAAAATTTTTTAAAAACGCACCTAATACAACAACATATATAAAGCATTATACAATACACCATAATCATTTGAGATTTATTTAAGTAGTGCAAGATTGGTTCAACAGATAAAAAGCAATCTAATGTACTATATTAGTGGAATAAAAGAGAAAAGCCATGTGGTTGTCTCAGTAAACATAGATAAAGCACTTTCCAAATTTCAATGCCATTTTATGATTTAAAGAGAAAACATAATGAGCTAGGAATAAAAGGAAATTTTCTTAATCTGAAAATGAGCATTTATGAAAAACTCAGAGCTAACATACAATACTTGATGGTGATAAACAGAAAACTGTTCTTCAAATTAGGAACAAGACAAGAATGTCTGCTCTTGCCACTTTTATATAATTGTTGAAGATTTTAGCTAGGATAATTAGAAAAGAAAAAGAAAGAAAATGTATCAGGATTAGAAAGGAATAAGTGAAATGATCTCTATTTTTGGAAGACCCGATTTTTTAAGGAATTTACAAAAGAAAAAACTAGAATCTAAAAGGCAAATTCAGCAAGGCTATAGAATTAAATATACAAGATCAATTGTATTTTTGTACTAACAATGGACAGTATAAAAATGAAATTAATTTCATTTACAAGAACATCAGAAATACCAAGCTAAGACTTAAGAATAAGTTTAACAAAATTAGGTCAATACATTGACATTGAAAACTACACATTATTGAAAGAACCACGTGGAAAGTTATCCCATGGTCATGGATTGGAATACAGTATTAAAGCATCTCCAGGGCGATCTTATGATTCAGTGCATTCACTATCGAAATCCCAGCTGGCTCCCCCCACCTCCTCCGCTCACCAGAAACTGATTCACCAATCCTGAAATTCATTCCAAAATGCAAAGGACCTAGATTAGCCACCTTGAAGCACCTAATCTGATTTGATACACTTGAGAAAGATGGGGAAAATTGTAAATGTCTTTTTAATATAATGTTGCAAAACAGTCTTTTTCATTAAAGCTTCTTTCTGTGCTAAATGAGAATTTAGAACTGCAGAATTAGCTATTCAAATTATGGGAAATATCTGCCAAATAAGTTAATTGGCAGAGCCAGTTGTCATTGTTAAAACATTCATCCATCTTTCATGTGAAGTCTGACTATGCCCTTTCTGCTGATGGAAGAGACAAGGTTTTTAAACTACAGTTTATTTTGCACTTTCACTGTAATTAATTAAATAGCATGGGATGGACAGATTGTTCCATTTTATAAATTAGAAGAGCTATTGTGAAAGGAGAAGTGAAAAGCAATTGCTTTTAAGACATATAAGTGTGTCTGTTCTGAGGCAGACCTGTGTTTTTGGAGTTAAGGTTCTGTATACGTTCTGCCATTAAACCATCCATGGCTTTGCATCCCTTTTAAAGCCTTTTATCTTCAGGAATGCACTGCCCCAGCTTGAGAACTATTCCTCTACCCTACTCTTAGTCTTTTATGAATAAAATAGCCTTGCATAGCATCTATTTTATTTGTATGCATACTGTGTGCTGGGATCCTATGATGTTTGTACACTCAGGTTCACTTGGACCATGTTTTGCCAGAGATCCCATGCCTGTGCTGTTTGTTTCTATTCTACATCCCTGTCCTGCACTCAGTGAGATTTTCTCTTGGTGTCCAGGTAGAACCTCTGAATCCTCCACAACTGGCAGCTTTCACCAGCTGATTGGAGCTGGTATTGGAGGTGATTCTCTGTTGTACCATTTTTGTTAGTTTTCTCAATCTATTTGTATCTTTTCTCTTTTTATAGTTTATACTTTCTAATTACATTTTGTTTATTAATGTGATTCTTTTTTTCTGTTTTTTGGTTAAACTTATCCTTAAATATGTGTTTGGAGACAATTCTCCATGAAACTCTTACTTTTCTTTTTGTGAACAGAAGCTTTGGCTGCTTTCTTTCTGGTCTATTTTTTCAAGATTATTTCTGTAGTGAGCAGCTATGGAGGATATAGAGACTCCAGAGCCAGTGGATGGGTTTGGGTATAGCTTTGGACTAGTTGGTTTCTCCCTTTAAGCAAAGGGGTAGACAGGCTTTCTGCCCATTGCAAAGATCCAGGTTCCCAGAGCTCAGGATCCTTTCCTGCGTCTCAGCCATCTGCCTGTGCAGCCAGTCTGCCGGCTCTTCTCAAGTTGCCCTGGAGCAAGGAGATGCTCCTCCTATCATAATAAATCCGTGCACCTCTGCCCCAGGGGTCTGCTGGCATTCACGAGATTGTGACAGGCTAAAAACCTCAGATGCTTCACAGTTCTTGACAATATGTGCCAAATACAAATAAAAAGGAAAATAAATAGCTTTCAGAGTTCAAATCGGAAATGTCATTTTTATCCATGTTTTTCATTAAAAACTAAATTATATATTATTTATATAAATGTAGCATAGATATTTTCCTTAGGTCAAACTGAAGGTTTGGCAGGATTTTGCTGTTTATTTTAATGACAATTTAAAAAGTGTAAAAATCATCTGTTTTTCTTATGCGTATAAATTTGTATTGTAAGTATGTATGTATTATATATGCATATATTGGGATATGTGTGTGTATTCATATTTTTGAAAAACCAATCAATTTTGCATTCTTAATCACATTTTTAACAATCTTAATTCCATTTGTATCATTGGGCTATATTATGTGCCTCTATTCCAGAATATTGGAAAGAAGATGACATGCCAGGAGTTCATTGCAAACCTCCAAGGTGTCAATGAGGGTGGTGATTTCCCCAAGGATCTACTGAAAGTAAGCATTGAATATTGGTTTCTAAAATATACTTGTGTTTATATTTTCTTCCGTATATATTCCTGCCTAAAATAGACAGGCTAAGGATCACATAGCTGTTTTGTTTCTTGCTTTTGGTTTTATTGCTGATGTTTTGATTAGGCCTTGTCCTTGGTGCGTCAGACTACAAAGTAACCTTCAGTTAGTTGCTCCTTAAAGTCCACATTATAATTAATAATACAGAGATAGTGAGTAGACTTGGAATAATTGCTGATACAAATAGTTAGTGGGCAGTATTTTATTTATTTGTAAGCAGACCATCAGAACTTGAGAGTGGTCACAAAGGTATATCTGCTATGGAAACAAAAAAGCACTTGCAAACTAATATTGGAAGCAGTTCAGACTATATTCAGTCACTAGTCACTGAGCCACTCAGGTTGTCTCTGGAAATAGAATAAATTAAATCTGAGTAATTGTAGAATGCCTGAATTGTTTGCATTCGGCTTTTTTATTGGTAACAGTCAGCATGATTTTCCTTATCATCAAATTGTTTTCAAGGAGACAGTTTGAAATTCGTAACAGTCTACAGCAGCATAAATGAGATGTGTCTGTGATCAAATACAGAGTAGTGGTTGATGATGGATGTGAATATTTTAGAAGTTCAGGATAAGATGTGTATGTTGAGAATGTGATTTTTACAGAGTTCTGTTTGTTTCTAGCATTCTTTTTAGAACCTTTGTACATGTGTAGATTTCTTTTGAAAAGAATTCTTTTAAATGAATTTACAAAGAAAGGTGACACATTTGAACCATGCATAACGTGGAAATGTACCAGTTAAAAGATTAAGTCCTATATTATGTCTTATGTGACTTTCAAACTATATAAAATTTATAAAATAGAGCTCTGCAAACTTTGGAATGACATATATACTGTGGAAAATGAAGAGTTATGAAAATATGGTGCAATGAGATTGTTAGTCTTTCTGACTTTAATTGCAGCTTGTTAAAAAAATTACATTATGAAAAAATAGCAAAAAAAATAGCTTCAGCTTACTATATAAGGTATAATTATATAATTTTATTATATAATTCGCATAATTATATAATTATATAATTCTTAATATAACTTTTTATTGAGGTATAATTGACATAAAACATATATTTGTTTCAGGTGTATAACATAATGATTTGCTATATGTTGCAAAATGGTTACAATAAATCTAGTTAAACACCTGTCACCATATATAGTTACAGAATTTGTTTTCCTGTGGTGAGAACTTTTGAGATATGCTCTCTCAGCAACATTTAAATGTGCAGTGCAGTTTGCCACGCTGTACATTGCATCCCGATGACTGGAAGTTTGTAATTTTGACTCTCTTTACCTGTTTTGCCTACTTCCCTACCCCTGCCACTGGCAACCATCAATATGTTATTTTTTAAGTTGTTTCTTTATAGAGAAAATGCTGCCATGTGTGAAGCTATAATTCCAAATGGGAATGGAAAAGAAAAGGTGTTGGATTGTGATATGTTTAATGTGTTCTGTACATTCATTGAAGCTATACTGTAAATACAAGTGAACAAGTCTGTTTTCAGCCTAGCCATATTAACATGGAAAACAATGGAGTCTTTCTATGAGAGGATTTGTGAGGCTTTTATCCAGTTATCAGAAAGGAAAATTGACAGGAGCATTTTTCATGGTGGGGCTTTTAGATTTTAGTGGTAAAGGTATGGTATCTTGCGTGACTGTGAGTAAATTGTGGAGCAGCTTTAGAGCATGTTGGATGGTGTTGTCTGAAACCGGAGGTAGTTACTGTCCAGTCCAGTGGCCACCGTTCACCTCGAGTCAGCACATGTTCTTTGACTTACTCTGCCGAGAATTTGCTGGGTGATTTGTTGCCGTTGTACAATTGAGATCATGTTCACAAACCTCGGGGGAGAAAATATGTATGATACGACTCTTTACTTATGTGGGAAGATGACAGTGAAATGGCACGAAGTGACAGCGGTGTTTAGCATGGAAATTATCAAGTAAAATATTGATTTTCTGTCACAGCACAGCACAGCCCAGCCGATCACTGACCCAACATGAGTTTTTCATTTCAGTAGGAATCTGGATTTTACTGCAAATTTCAGCAAAGAAAGGTTTTCTTTAAACCATTTTTGTTTTATTTCACTCTCGTGTGGCTATTCCTTTTCCCTTCCCTCCCCTCCTCCTCCCTTTCTCCCTCTTTCTCTGTATGTCTCTTTTCCCTTATGTTTTCCCTCTCTCTCTCTCCCTCTCTCTCTCCCTCTCTCTCTCTCTCTCTCTCAATTCCCTACTGAAATTAATTATTGGGTGCAATATTAATTTGAATTTTGAGGGGAAATTATGCACATGCCACACAGACACATACATGCATACAGATAAACACAAAATGGTATCATCTTACAATCTTACAGCACCCTCTTGCCAACTTAAAAAATTATGTACATGTACTAGTTCAACTCATGAGGTAAGATGCTTATTGTTACATAGATTGAACGGAGGCTTTTACTGTTACGTATTGACCTTATTACTTTTAGATTTCTGTGGCTTGGAAGTAACATTTCAACTCATGTCTGTCTGTTCATTGTTTTTGTGTGTCCTGTTATATTTATTGAAGGTCCACTAGATTCATCAGGTGTTTTGGACTTGGAGAACATGCTGGAACCAAATGGGTTCCTCTCCTCAGAGATCACAAACTACTAAGAAGGATGGAGGGTTCTTTCTCCCTTAAAATATACAATGATTCCATATTAAAATGAAAGTATAAACTGAATTCTGCTTGTTCTCAACAGAATTGGTTAAAAAAAAAAACACTTAAATGAGAAACTTGTTTTAACTTTTAATTCAGAGACTTGAGTTAATATTTTGCTCTACATTTGCCTTAGACTACACTGAAGGGATAGATATGTTGAGCCCTTTTGCAATTTACAGTCCCACTACAGTTGCCCCCTTCAGTCAAAGGACCTAAAAAGATAACATGAGTGCTTTGTGCAAGTAAGAATTTTCCCCACAAGTTGCTTAAAGTATAAGTTATTGGTGTCTTAGTATAAAATGGAATGAGTTGGGTATAAAAGGACAACCATCAATGGAATATTATTCAGGTTCTTTAAAGCAGAAATCTTGCTAGGAGTATGTGATGTTTGACATAGACCTTTGAAACATAGGCATAATTTCAGTATGAGACTTGTTTTGATTTTTATTTAAGTTATTATTCTGTTTCATCTCCCACCCATAAACATTAATTTTCTTTCTCATAAGTAGCTATCCCTGTGACCTCACCACATTAAGACAGTAACTCATTCGGTAAAATATGCCAAAACATCTGGCCTGTGTCATGGCTCTACAGGGCCTGCCCATCCCAACACTTGGATGTAATTTGCCTTCAAGCATCATTGGAGAAGGAGGGTAAAGGGGATGTTCTGCTTTTGATTATGACAGATTTAATAAGACACTCCTAAGACTTTGTAATATGTAGTAAAACTCCTAAGGACACGAATGTAGAGGGATGGGAATATAAAATGTGGGCCAGTTCTGGATTGAAGACCGAACTTTCCAAAAGATAGATGGTTGTGCTTGTGTGTTTGGGAGCTATACTGCCTGGGCTCTAATCCGACCTCCCCTCTCATATTAGCTGAGGGATGTGAGCAAATTCATTTAAACTTTGGGTCTCAATTTCCCCATCTGTGAAATGGGATATTTTATTAGTCCTTACCCCACCTACTTGTTTTAATAATTACAGCTTTTTATGTAATATTATTTTATTTTTTACCTTGCACAAAGTGAGCTAGAAAGGGACTCCATCCCTTCCTGAAGGTATGTGAACCTAAGATGTTCTACAGCTCCTAGGGTCAAGTATGATCAGTGTCAATAGACAAGGCCTCTGACCCCCATCCTTATTTAACCTATGCACACACATCCTCTTGCTCATTAAAAGGAACTGTCTGAGTCCTTGACCTTGAGTATTTCTTCTTTTTGTAGTAAGATTTTTATTCCTCATCATTGATGCTTCCATTTTTCCCAAAGACTAGTTGGTTCCAAAGAAGAGCCATCAAAATCTCCAATAGAGGCATTTGTTTCATAAGGTCTGTCTTAACATTGCATAGGCACCTGAAAAATGAAGCTTGGCTACCCCTGTATTTTCCTTGCCTTTTCTCTTGTTAACAACAGCCTCTTTCTCCTGAGTCTATCGCTCTTGCTATGTTTTTATATCTTTTATTTAGTTCGGGTCTTTGATGCTGCAAAAGTGGAGGTACTATGAAGAGTTTGGTTTTAAACTGGTCTTGGACTCTTGAAGAACCTTTAAAGAAGCAAATTGATCCTTGTACTCTTTAAAGACCCCAAGATGATCCTGGGATATTAATAGAGATGTAAACTACTTGAAGTGACTAAAAATCCCCAGGAAAGAGAAGCATTGCTTGATATCTACCTGCTTTCCTGTGTTTTCTCTAGAAAGAGAGCTCGAGGTCAGAAAGCTCAGGGCGCCACATTGTTGCCTCAGCAGTTTTTGCAGACTCTTGACTATGTTGGCCCGGGGATCTCTTCCTCCCAGTCCTGCCGGGGGCTAATACCGAGGAACTAGTGAGATTGTTCGCATGACATCATATGGATGTTTCAGAAGCTCTTTGTAGAATAAGCTTAAAAATGGACCTGAATGTTCCTCTGTCTCATGCTCAAAATGTAGCACCTTACTTTTTCGCCTTCCTTTTCCCTAAGTTTTATTTCCTATGAACCTCTATCCTTGGTTTTGACAGAAAAGCTACATTTTTATCTTCAGTCAGTTTTCCATGTCTAACTCCGGTGGTTGATAATCCTCCCTTTCTTATTACATATAGGGAGAGACTTCAGGTAATGGCCACCAGTTATTTAGATATGTAAGGGAAAAATAGTCATTTCAAAATATATTTACATGGAACAAGGGAAGAATCAATATGAAATAAGAGAAAAGGAGCCAGTGAAAAGTGGCATAGCAACATATAAGGTGGAAGGTCAATTACTGG